CTGTTTTTAATGCAGACCTTTATCCTCTTTCTGCATATTATTTTAAAATGTTTCAAGGAACTAAGCCATGGTTTGAGGGTTCAGAAGAGGTTTTCGCTGCTGTGAACAGCCTGTTCTTTGTGGCAAGAGACCTGTGGTGTGCTGGTGGCAGCCAGAGGATTGCCTGCAGGTTGATGTGTACTCCATCTTCTGGCCAAAGAGCAGAAATGCATCAGTTTGAAAAGGCTGCATGTATAAAAGTGGCGTACCTAGTGCAGCTGAGCTACTTCCCAGGTTAATGATTGCTTTCAAGGGAAGGAATCAAAGAACAGAGGTGTTGAACCTCCCTCATTTATTAATACCTTTCGTTTGTCCTACTGAGGGCTTGGGGATGTAGCTGAAAGCAGGTACCATCATCTGCCTGCTCACAGCAGCTCCTTTTCTCTGCACCACAGAGGTCGTGCATGATGGGCTCCTCCTGTTTAGGTAAAACCAGTCGGTAGGAGAGAGCAGTGGACAGCATTGTTGTGTGGCAGCAGCCAGCTCTGAGACTGGGACAAGCTGGGTTGTGTCAGGCTGAGGGAGATGGGTAGACAGGGAGCAAAAGCTTGCAGGGCTTAGCCTGCTTGTTTTGCTGCACCTGGAGATCTGCCTCTTTCTCCTTGTCTGGTGGAACTGGGCAGCAAGAGACTGCTGTTGGGCATCTTGCAAACCAGTGCTCTCTGCTCCTCCCCAGCGGCCCAGAAGAAGCTGATGGCAGCTCAGGCCCAGCTCTCCTCTTCCTCTGTGGCGGGGGCGGCGGAGCCAGCAGTGGAAACACGCACCACAGCAATGCAGATAACAAGGGAGCTGCTGCGGAGCAAAGGCATCGCGGGACTCTACAAGGGCCTGGGAGCCACGCTGCTAAGGTAGGATGGTGTGGACTCAGGCGCAGGGCACTGCTGTTCCCAGTCTTGAACATAATGCACTAGCCATCCAAGGGATGAGCCTGCAAAGGGGGTGCTGGCTTCAGGGGGTGTGGGCTTGATTTGGTTTGGTTTCTATGCACAGGTTTTGCACATTAAAGAAGCGAAGGTCAGGGAAGCAAGGGATTCTGCCTTTTATTCCTGGAAGATTTAATTCTGCTTTCTGTGGAAAGTTTTTGTCTCCCCCAGGGTAAATATTTTAACACTGTAGAGAAGTCAGCAAAGCAGAACTGTCAGCCTCAGTCTCCAGGGTGTGAAACAGGTTCTGGCCCATGGAGCTGTTGGATACAAGGACTTGGTGCCCTCTCTGACACTCTTTACCTGGGCTTTCACAGATTGATTCTTCTAGCTTTAATAAAGGCAGAGCTAAAGCAACGCCCAGTGGGATGGGGGGGCAGGATGTGAACCTCTTGTAATTAACAAAAGTGGACAAAACGATTGACCTCTGAATGTGCTGGGGTCTTCAATTTGAGTGTTGAAAAATCAGGGGGAGGCCACTGACTCTGCAAAGCTGCGTGTCTCCCATGGACCTGTTGTCCTTCATGCAGTCAGTTTTGCCCCTGCTGAGTTTTGGCTCCTGTCTGTGTTGCAAATCGCAGAGCTGGGATGTCTGCGTTGCACTCGTAGCTGTTCTGCCAAGGCGTGATGCTTACAGCCCTTTGATGCTCAGTTTGTTGGTGTCCCACTCTGATTTTGCTCATCTTTGTTCTTCTTTCTTCCCTTTCCTCCCTCCCCACCACAGGGATGTCCCGTTCTCCATCGTTTACTTCCCACTGTTTGCAAACCTGAACAAGCTGGGCCAGAAAGACCCCAATGTCAAGGCTCCGTTCTATGTGTCCTTCCTCTCCGGATGCGTGGCTGGCAGTACGGCTGCGGTGGCTGTCAACCCTTGTGACGGTGAGTCCTGAGTAGCCGGTGCTGGTGGCCTGGCGCCAAGTGACAGGAGTCAGAGGGCCACGAATGGACTAGGTGAGGAGGAGGGTGACCATGCCAGCCTCTTTGCAGCATGAGCACACAGGGAGGTACAGGAGGGGAGCTCTGCTGTCTGGAGCTGCCTCCAGCTTACACAGAGTTTTGCTGTATTTGCTAGGTAAGTCAAAAAGAGGGTAGAGATAGCTGTGACAGGACAAGGGGTGATGGTTTTAAACTAAGACAGGGTAGGTTTAGACTGGATATAAGGAAGAAATTCTTTACAATGAGGGTAGTGAAACACTGGAACGGGTTGTATAAAGAGGTAGTGGAGGCCCCATCCCTGGGAACATTCAAGGCCAGGTTGGACGGGGCTGTGAGCAACCTGATGTGGTTAGCGGTGTCCCTGCTCCCTGCAGGGGGGTTGGGCTGGGTGACCTCTAGGGGTCCCTTCCAACCCAAAACATTCTGTGATTCATTTCAGTCATTCTTTGCGGGAATGGCTGTGAACATGCCCCTGAAAAGGCACGTTTGCATGTGGAGTGATAGTATGCAGATCATTTACATGCATACAGTCATGGACAGCCAGGGGGAGCCTCCGATCTGTGGTCTTTCCTCCTGGTCCACAGCATCTGCCTTAAATATCACCTCAGTTTCTCTGCCGTGAAAAACACCATAAAGTAACTCTTCTCTCCAACATTGCACATGCTCCAAGGTGTGAAGAAATGCAGGAGCAGCATCATATATTTTAGATACTTCTTGCAGAAGGAGTTGAGTATTTGAAAATCAGTTCCCACATTGCAAAAAGAAACCTGAACTTGGAAGCATTTAAAGCTTAAGTCAGCCTTGGAAACCTTGGTCACAGTGAGGGGAGGGCATTGGGGTTTGGGTGGCTGTGGTTTTCTTTTATCCATTTGTAAAGGAATGAGTTTGTTTTCCCCTGTTTTTCTGATAAATATATAAAAATGGTCCCTGTTCTTGGTGATCTCCTTTTGGCTGTGTTTCAGAGACATTGCTCTCAGGGTGGCTGTTGCCTGCTGAAGAGCGTGCTGCATTCCCAGTGCTCACCACTGTCTCTCATATCTCTTCTTCTCCCCAGTGATCAAAACGCGTCTGCAGTCCTTGCAGAGAGGAGTGAACGAGGACACCTACTCAGGAATCCTGGACTGCACCAAGTAAGCCTCCTCGTGAAGCAGGCCACCACATCAGATGTGTGGCATCTGCTGCTGCCTGCTGCCAGGCAGTCAGTGCAGCTTCTAGACCCAACCAGCAGCTTCTCTCTTTCAGGTTCCCTCTGAACCTGTGCTTTTATCTATCGATCTATATGGATAGATACATAGATATATGAGCAGATATATACTGTTCACATATATAGGTATATAAAAGAGAACTTCTTCCTGTTTTGAGCAAGGTAAATATAGCATTTATATTTAAATGCTTCTGTCAAAACCCCAACAGTCATAACGCTGAGACTTTGTTTCTGCAAAGGGAGGCAATGCTGTGATTCTCTCTCCCAAGACCCTGTTGTCTGAAAATCCTACAGCATTAAAGTCTTGTATCCCTCCTGGGACCTCTCTTAACAGCAGCTGCAGGAGCACTGGCTGCCTGGCCTGTCCCCAGCTGCCCCATCCTCTGACACTTTGCTCAACTGTGGTCTGGCTGCTTCAAAACATGAAGGGAGTTTCGGAACACAACTGCTCCGCTTCTGTTGTAGCCAGAGTCTCGCCATCTGGCTGTGTCCCATACTGGGGGTGGAGTCTGCCCCGAGTTTTGAAGAGGGGGACCTCTTGAATGCAAGCATGGGGTTGTCATCCAGTCCCAGGCAGACAGTCCTGCTCCTGGCCAGATGTTCCTACATGGTCATTCGCAGAGCACATGGAGGATGGTGGTTGATCTGCTGTGGAGGCAGTGCCTGGCAGCAGCAGCCTCTGGAGGGAGGCAGAAAGCCAAGGGCACGGCCAGAGGCTCTCCTGGCGTGGTGGAGGGGTGGGATGGACACTTACCTGTCTGTGTTGTCTCTCCCCAGGAAGATCTGGCAAAAGGAGGGGCCCATGGCTTTCCTGAAAGGGGCGTACTGCCGAGCCCTGGTCATTGCTCCTCTCTTCGGCATCGCACAAGTTGTCTACTTCATCGGCATTGCGGAGTTCCTGCTGGACATGCTCCCCAAGCACCGAGCCTAGCTCCAGCGCGCGTGCGTGTGCCCTCCCACCCTCTGCCACGCCAAATTCATCCCTGTGTTCATCATCCGTGTCAATTGGTGTCAGAGCAACAGCACAAAGGGTTCGCGCAGGGATGCTGGGGGGACGTGGTCTCCAGACGAGCAAACGCGGGGAGGGAGAGAGTCCCTTTTCTATCTTGGCCTGGAACCTGTCCCCTCCTGCTCCTTCCACGGACAATACCTAATTATGCATTTTTTTTTTTCTTTCCTTTTTTTTTCGTTTTTAACTTGTCATTTTTAAGGACACTGGTAAGCACAGTCTGGGCTTGCAGACCCAGAAGTCTCCTCCCAGCCTTGGGGAGGAAGAGGGATGGGAAAGAAATAACCTGAACCCTCGTCCACCCCAGTGCCCCTCTTTCTTCCTGGAGTTGCCAGCTATCTGAGGAGGAGCTGGAGGGGCAGCTGTGTCCCCTCAGCCCTCCTTGCCTCTGCTGGCCCCAGGTCGAGAGTGGACACTGCACAAAGGGGGCTCCATCTCATCGGTGCCGGAGGCACAGCGGGGGGGGATGCTGGATCTGGAAAGTTCTTTGGCCTGGAAACCTTCACCCCTCCCTTCTCTGTTTCTCAAAAACGAGTTGGACTTAGATGAACTTCTTGGAGAGCAGAGGAAAGGAAAGGGGATGGTTACTATTGATTTTGTAATTATTTTTGTTTTAAAGCAAAGGGATGTCCCTCCTAACTAGGTGTCACAGGCACGTTTGAGTGAGGTGCAGAGATGAGACGTCCGCTCTGTAGGGAACACGTCTGTGGGATCACACGAATGTCTGAAGGTGCTTCACTGCTTGGTTTACAGGCAGGGGAGGGAGAGGAACTTGGGATCAAGTTATTTTTGTTCAGGTTTTGGGTTGTGTTGTGTTGTTTTGTTTTGTTTTTAATGCAGGGATTGTGGGGAGGGAAAACCAAACAACAAGAAACCACTTACATTCCTTCAGCCTGGCCACCCCTAGGGTGATAAAGCGGTGGCCACAGGTGTAGATGAGCTGATTATTTTTTTTTTTTCCAGCCTGGCTCTGAACCTTGGGGAGGCGTGCTTAGAAATGCCACGCCTGAGTGCTCACCTTGCAAGGTGAAAACACAAGGTCTAGTTGTGCTTTGATGTTTGACTTGGGCGTGTTTGGAACCAGCTGGTGTCAAAGAGGCGGAGGGTTCCCGCACCCCGAGCAAGGAGCTGTTTGCGTGTACGTGATCACAGGGTTGGGTCCTCTGGATCATAAAGACTCATCATCCCACTCGCTTCTGGGGTGGTGATTGTTGTTGGGTGGCGGGGGGCAAATCCACACCTACAACCCACTCTGTCAAAGGGACGCTGCCCCAGCTAACACGACTTGTCAGAGGACTTCCGCGTTCAGTACTCTCTTGGGCTGTGTAATTAATTCTCGTTTAAATGATCTTAAGTACAATATCTACCGACCCAGCGCGATCTTCTCCTTTATTTATTCCATTTGGTGCAATCCACCTGACTTTGGTGTTTAAATTAAACTGGTTGAAATAACTTTTCATTCCTTTTTCTTTTCGCTTTATTCTCCAGGCGCTTGCTTGGTGTTTGTGTTTTGAATGTATATTTAAATTTAATTTTTTTAAAAAATTCCCTGTATGTTGAGGGCCTTCTTCCTTGATGCGTCCTTTTTCTCTTTGAAAAAGTTGTTCTGTGGCTGATTTGTTACTTGTCACTTTGCATATGTGAATAATTTTCTTTGTTTTTCTTTTTTTCTTAATGACTTCTCCGTGTATCTGGGAAGGAATCTGTGCAAAGGCGATGATAGATGTCTGTGCTGTGTGTAGTGCTGTGATGCTGCTCTTGCTCTGGATTTCCCTTGGGTGGATTAAAAGTGAAAGATTCTTTTTTTTATTTAAGGTGCCCCATTTCTTGCTGCTTTGTGATTTACAAGGAGGGTCCCCAAAAGAAACCTTGCCGATAAAAGCAGTGGGGTTTCTGCTTGCCCATCTGCTTGCAAGGAGTGCCCCCTGAAGCTGGGTGACTTGCAGCTGCAGGGGGGGTGCATGGGGTGCAGGTTTGTATCATGGGGTTGCGTTTGGAGGAAAATTTAGTGCGGTGAAGGGCTGAGGTTCAGGGAAAGCTCTCCTTGTCCTTTTCTATGCTTTTAAAAACCTCTTTGTAAAACTGACTCTTCCTCCTGAAATCTCCAGCTCTTCTTCCACCATGCTGGAGCTGGTGACCTGAATGGGGCTGATTTTTAGCTGCTTGGACATGTCCCCGAGCCAGGAGGCCATCGGGCAGTGGCAGGGGGTGGTGACTGTGGCCCCACGGGAGCCCCCCAGGCAGGCAGGGTGCCGCTGGCCAAAAAAATAGTGAGATTTAAATGGGCAGAATTCCTATCAACTCACTTAATCACCGATTAACAGAAACTTCTAAGCACTGATTGCAGTATTGAGGAATAAACATAAATAAATACACTTAGAGAAGCACAGCTCTGCTCCCCTCCCTGTGGGTGCGCTCTTCCCCCGGGCAGGGGACAGCAGCCAGCATGGGGTCAGCTCCTCATGTGTCCTACCTGGCCCCCCTGGCACAGGGCCCTCCACCCACCCCAGGCCCTTTGCAGTCGTGCCTTGCCCCGTGTCACCCCTGTCCCTTGCTCCTGCTCTGGCCATGGCTTTTGTGGCCCCAGTTTGGGTTTTGTGGGGTTTACTGCCCTTAAATATGTTTTGGTGGAGGTGCCATACACCCCTGTCATGGCTTCAGGTGGGTGGGTCAGTTTGGGCTTGTGAAATTTCCTGGAACGGAATGGGGAAATTTACTAAAGCCCTGGGGGGAAATTCTTAGAAAGCAAAAGGGAAATTTCCTGAAACCAATAGGGGAATCCCTAGAAAGCAAAGGGAAAAAACCATCCTAGAAAGGGACCAGTAAAATATCCTGGAAAACAAAGGGGAAATCTACTGCAAGAAAATGTAGGGATTTCCTAGGGGAAAATCCTCAAAAGCAAAGGGGGAAATATTGTGGAAATTTGTAGGAAGCAAGGGGGGAACTTCCTAGAAGGCCGTAGGGGGGGATAGCCTAAAAATCAAAGGCAGAAAATTCCTCAAATACCAGGGAAATTCCTGAAAAGCAAAAGTGACGTTTCTTAAGAAAGTAACAGTGATATTTCCTAGAGGGAGGAGGAATTGCTGGAAATAAAAAGGGAAGTTTCCTGGACAGGAAGAATGAAATTTCTTGGGAAATAATTTTTTGCTTCCCAGGGAGCAATAGTCGTGGGGAAATTTCCTAGAAAGTGATAGCAGTCCTGTAAAGCAGAGAGAAAATTCCTAGAAAGCAACAGAGGACTCTAGACAGCAACAAGGAAATTTCCCGCAAAAGAAAGGGGAGTGTCCTGGAAAACCATGCAGAAGTTCCTAGTAAGCCACAGGGAGAAGTTCCTGGAAAAGAGAAATGTCCTAAAAATAAAGAAGAG